GCCTCGGTATAAGTGTACTTCCCCATCTGTAGGGTCAAAACTCAAAACAGGGGTGTCACCTATCCTTTAATAAAGCTCTTGGCCTTCATATTCTCATTAGCTACCAAGTGCAGAGCATGCCGAGACAGATGATTGAAACGAGCATTATAATCCAGTACTATCATGTTAGGTGTCAATCAAAGAGCTTGAGCTTTTTGACCTCAATCACTTGGGCAGCATCCATTGCCTCGACATAAGTGTACTTCCCCATCTGCAGGGTCACAACTCAAAACAGGGGTGCCACCAATCCTCTAATAAAGCTCTTGGCCTTCATATTCTCATTAGCTACCAAGTGGAGAGCATATCGAGACAGATGATTGAAGTGAGCATCATAATTTGGTACTATCATGTCAGGCATTTGTTGAAGTTACTTGAACTCTGCTGCCAGCTGATCTCTCTTGTTTACTGATAGAAATCTATTCGTGAAAAAACTGTCAAACTCTTTCCAAGTCATCAGTGTTGCTTCCTTTGGCCTCCTAGATAATATGGTCTTACTGATAGTTTGCATGCGGCTAATTCCACACATCTGTAACTAGAACATTTCATCACTTCAAATATGATTTCTATTGAGTCTATAAAGTGCTATAGATCCTTAGTGGACCCCCTTCCAAAAAAGGTAGGTGGCTTAAATTTGAGGAAGTCCTAGACTTGGTTCTCAAGACTGGCCTCATGTTGATATTACTCTGAAGTCGCCTGTACCACAATTGTATTGGCCCAAACCTCTTGTCTCCTCTGAGTTGATTCTTATCCAATCCCCTTCTGGAATCTCCCGAGTCTTTTGAATAGAGCTTGGCTAACCATTTGCACCAACCTCTAGTACTCCCAGCCCTGTATTCATCAAGGTCTCGATCCTTCCCTAATCCATTATCCTCTCCATCAAGGCGAACGTAGTTTGTTATGTCCCCTGAATGCCAAGTAGGATCTCGACCAATCTATATGAAATACTGTAGGTCTAGTAACTTCCTCAAGCTCTATCTGTCTACCTCAACTAGTCATCCTACCATGGCCTCTCTCTTTACCCCTGTTTCCACCCCATCCTCTACCTCATGCTGGCATGAAGGCTTATCTGTCTAATTGTATCTCGGGAGAGGGCGACTTGTCTCATGGTATCTCGGGAGAGGGCGACTTGTCTCATGGTATCTTGGGAGTCATTGAGTTCTCGTTATTAAATTCTCATAGTTTTCATATAGGGCATCCATCTATCAAAAGATTTCAAATAACTTATAACAAAAGTAAAAATGAAGGTAAGATTAGATTAGCAACCTAATTTAGAGAACAGAAAACTCCTACTTGCTCTTCTATAGCATCTTGATTATGAGAATGGCTGGTTTATAATCATAATCGAAACCCTACAAATGGACAATTACTCGATCAACCACAGAAAATCTAGAGGTCTGATACCAACTTTGTCAAGACCCAAAAATCGAATTTATGACTAGCGCTGAAGTCAAAATAAATTTCAACCCTGCAAGCCTAATAGAAAATATAGAATTCAACTGAACCAATAATCTGATACGAAACAAAATATAATTCAAACAATAAAAACTTATCTGTCAACACATAATATAAAACCTATCTGTAATCAAATGGAGCATTCTAAAATCACAATAGTACAAAGTCTAATAGGAACTAAATTACTAAAATTTAAAATCCAAAACAAAAGACAGTAGAATAGTATGGACTCCTCCAAGGTAGTAGTATTTGTCAAACCAATGAACTTGAAATTTGGAAAAAATATAAGGATGAGTCTATAGACCTAGTTAATAATAATATGTATTTATGAGAACAAAAGACATGTATCTAGATATAACAGATAATGTGCTAAAAATAGATTTTCAACAACATTCATAATTTAGGGAGTTCGTATTCTAGAATGTAACACATATCAAAAAATAGGACGGTGACATCTCAGTCTACCGTTAATCAAGATGACTTTTGGTTAGCCAATATACAGATATATAAGTAAGGACACTCAAGCTAATGCCTATTGCCATTAGCTGTAGCATTCTAAGACCTGAAAGTCCCTTAAAACATTTTTTTTCAGAAATAATAGAACAATTTAACTGAATCTTTCCATTCACATATATAAATTGAATCAAATGTAAATAATAGATAATTCTTCCAAAACAAATTTCAAAAATTAGATAAATGCCCGTTGTTATGCCTTTAAACAAGATTTTAATTCAATTTTTAGAAATCAAACATCTCATATAAAATCAAAGTGTACAACAAATATGGAAAATAGTAAAAACCTATAAATACATATTATTACTCACAGAAATGATGGAACCGAGAAATCTAATCTTCGGTGACACAGGCTCAACAAGAACGGTATAAACAACCTAAAATCATAAAATAATAAAATATCTCATTTTTATGTTTTCAATGTATCTAAGAATTGAATAAATACAAGTTCCTAATTAAGAACCTGATTAAAATTCTAGATTTTTGGGCCTGAACCCTTTTTAAGGCCACTAAAGTCCAAACTAGTTAAATAAGTCATGAACCGAATACTGAAGTCATGAACCGGTCTCCTAAAACATAAATGTAGTTTGTTAAACCTTAAATCTACCAATTAAAGTACTGAACCAACCATTAGAAGGCTGAACCGGCCATGAACAAGCTATCAGGAGGTTGAACTGGCCATGAACTGACCCTTAATTCACTGAATTAGTCGTAAACTGACCTCTACTTTGTTGAACCGACCCTAAACTTGCTTGAAAAACATTAACTAACCTTATAACTCACTAAACCAATCCTTTATATACTGAACTAACTTGGTTTATGCACAAACTGGTTTAAAATCCTCTGAACCTGGCCTAAAATAAATATATTATCACTGAACTGACATTAAATCGGTTGGTTTAAGTATTAACCTAATTTACTTTGCTTTGAACTGAAAGTGAACCGGTGAAAATTAATCTAAATCGGCTAGTTTTCTATTTTTCCTCTTATTTTATTTTATTTATTTATCCTTAGATCTAGATCCCGGATTCAGATCTAGTTTCACGGCCGAACCCATCATGGCTCAACCTGCCTAACCTAGTATATTGTGGCCCAACAATTCAAAGGCTAGCCATCAAGTCACGACCCAACCCAATAGTCCATAGACCCAATCCAATATCTGGCCCAGGAGGACAGACCCGAACTTCAATTGGGTCTGTCTTCCTGGCCCATTCCCTTGGAAAAAAAAAAAGGAAAACCAAAAGCAAGAATCAAGAATTTGCCTAGAATTTCTTGGTTTTCTTTGAAATCCACCACTGCGATTGTAATCGGGATGATTAGGCAATGCTCAATGTTAGGCTTGTTGAGTTGGTTTAGTTGGAGAAGAGAGAATTTAAGAATTTCCTTGTCGTATATCTGTTTTTTTCTCAAGAGGAAATTCTGTGTCAATTTATCAATTTGATGAAACAATTTCTCCAATTGATTTAGGGTTCTAGTTTCTAACTGAACGAAATTGGAATTTTGGGTCTTTGGGTGAATCTCAAATATGGTTTTGAGATTTTCTTTTGATTTGATCCTTAATTTTCTGAATTTATTCAATTCAGTCCTTGACTACTTGGGTATTTCTATTTGGGTCTCTTTATGTCTTGATTAAGTCAATTAAGTCCCCTATTATTTTAATTGGAATCCTGAATCTCATGTTTCTTTCAATTAAGCCCCTTTTTAGTTTCTAAAATCTTAGTTAGTACCTCGAAAATTTGGGGTATTACACCTATTTTGGTCAATTTTCATGTCTAAGTGATTAAAGAATATCTAATATTATTAAAAAATTTTAATGTTAAATACCCGCATGTATTTTAGTTTTAAATATTAATTAGCTGTGATATGAAATAAGCCCTCAAATTCAAATACGTCTTGGTTTAAGAGGTACAATTAAATTAAAAGAACTTGCTCAGTTACATAAAAGGTTTTCCTCCTGTTTAGTTGGTTCCCCATCCATTGCCCTCTAGATCTGACTCGAAGATGTAACAGGTGTTTGGTTCCATAGAAAATTATGCCTTTATCTTGATTTTTGTTTTAAAAAAAAAATTACACTTGCAAAAAGGGTAACAATATTAATTATTTTGTTTAAGATGGAGATTTCCCTAAAGAAATAATAATTAAAGCTGATTTCATCTATTTTAATTTTATATATATATATATATATTAAAATAAGTGAATATTTTTTATTTGCTAACTCATGGAGTTGTTATTTGTAAATTTAAATAGTTAGCATATATGAGTGATATAATAAATATTTTTTTGGTCATACCAAATCTTTATATTTTTAAATCTGTAATTGACATTTTGTTCAAAATACGGTTTCAATACTAATTTATTGAAATATTAATTTTCCCAACCAAATTGTACAAATTTTGGTATTAGAAGCTTGTCTTTCGGTTCTTAATCTATGGTAACACAACCACAAGTCCTTATGCGTATTTGAACTAGATGTGTGAATCTACTCATATTGTCAAGTTACAAGGCCTTCAAATTTTAAACTTCTGAAATTTTATACTTTTTTTGACAAATTTAAATTTTTAAAATTTTAAGAATATTTAGCAACACAACGAAGTCACAAATTGTAGTTTAAACGTTTTCTTTTTCTTGAAATAGAAAAGAATAACTAAATTTTAAAACATGTGAAACTTTTGTTCAATTATTTCAAAATTTCAAATGCAATTTATAATTACAGTAAAATATAAAATTTTATTGCGTCATATTTTCTTTAAAAACGTGTTTTTACAGTGACATGTACTGGACGAAAGTATGCAATACAATTTTTCCAGCCGTTTAATTATGCAGGACTCTCAAAAATTTAATTGAAGAAACCAAATTTGACGTTGATTCATTTGATTTCACACATAATTGCTTTTTGGTATTTAAAATGTGCTTCACCAGTAACGAAAAACATGCTCTTTACAACTTGTAAGCTTAATATATATAACCGAAGATGAACTTCTGCTTTCATCATCCAGCAAACCTTAGAACATAGAGAGATGGCCTTTGCATTGTTAGCCTTTTGCCTTGCTTTTCTCTTCTCACCATTCTCATTTATTATCTTCTCCATCTTTGCCCTTTACTATAAAAAAAAGTATAGCAATAAGAGTGCAAGTAGCGTTCCCGTGCTTCCTCCAGGGCAAAACCGTGGCCTGTCATTGGATGCCTTGTTGAAATGCTAAGTAACAAGCCCACTTTTATGTGCTTCACAAATTGATGGAAGAAATGAATGTAGAAATTATGTGCACTCGCCTTGGTAAAACCCATGTCATCACCGTCACGTCTCCTGAAATTGCTTGTGAGTTCTTGAGGAGACAAGATGCTGTGTTCTCTTCGAGACCCACCTTCATGTCTGCTAGTCTAATTAGTGGAGGATACTTATCAACAGTACTTACACCAATGGGTGACCAGTGGAAAAAGATGAAGAGAATCCTTGCTTCTCATATTTTATCACCTGCAAGACACCAATGGCTTCATGGCAAAAGAGTCCAAGAAGCTGACCATTTAATTCACTATGTGTACAACCAGTGCATGAACTCCATGACTGGGGGTCTAGTGAACGTTAGGGTCACTGCCCAACACTATTGTGGAAATGTGATAAGAAAGATTATTTTTAGTGAAAGGTTTGTTGGGGTGGGGATGGAGGATGGTGGACCTGGTGCTGAGGAAATAGAGCAAGTGAATGCCCTATTCACCATCCTTAAATACCTTTACTCATTCTGTATTTCTGATTACATCCCATGTTTGCGAGGCCTTGTTGACTTAGATGGTCACGAGAGAATCATGAGAACAGCCATTGCAAGTGTCACTAAATACCAAGATCATGCAATTGATGAGAGAATCAAAAGCTGGGCCAATGGTACCAAGAAAGTAGAAGAGGACTTGCTTGATGTCCTCATTATGCTTAAAGACTCAGATGGTTCTCCTTTACTCTCACCACAGGAGATCAAATCACAGATACTCGTAAGCATCATTCCTGTCCCCCTTCAACTTGAATTTTATACATCTTCAATTCATATATATTAAGTGACCATTTGCATGCATGTAGGAGTTAATGTTAGCAACGGTGGACAATCCCTCAAACGCGGTGGAATGGGCCCTTGCAGAGATGTTAAACAAGCCGGAGACACTGGAGAAAGCAATGGAGGAACTGGACAGAGTTGTGGGGAGGGAGAGGCTAGTGCAAGAATCAGACCTTCCTAATCTTAACTATGTGAAGGCTTGCGTGAAGGAGGCCTTTCGCCTGCATCCTATTGCACCCTTTAATGTGCCTCATGTTTCAATGGAGGACACAATTGTGGCTGGCTACTTCATCCCGAAAGGCAGTCATGTGTTGTTGAGTCGTCCTGGACTTGGGAGAAACCCTAGGGTATGGGAGGACGCCTAGAATTCAAGCCAGAGCGCCACCTCATGGACTGTGATTCTAATGTTTCATTTGTTGATCCGAACTTGCGGCTCCTGTCTTTCAGCATAGGTAGGAGGGGCTGTATGGGGGTGACTTTGGGAACGACAATGACTACCATGTTGATGGCAAGGCTTTTGCATTGCTTCACATGGAACTTGCCCTCGTCGTGTTCCAAGTTTAATCTTAATGAGTCCCCGGATGACCTGCTACTTGCAGAACCCCTCCTTTTGCTTGCAAAGCCTAGATTGAACGAGGCCTTATATATTTCTGTTTAATTATATTGTATGGGATATGAATATTCCCATAAATAAAGGCTTTAGGTAAGAACACAATTTCCCATGTTAATTTGCTAAATAATGTAGCTTGAATAATCAGATGGTCAAGAAGACTATCATCAAATTAAGTTAAGTTGATGCTTATACCTATGTAATTTTTTCTCGGTTTTTCCCCATCAAAGATATGCAGAATTTAGCTATGAAAAGGTATAAAAAAGAAAAAAAAAGAAAAGAAAGAACAAGGTGGGTTCCAATTGATAATAAATTAATACATTCAATGAGATAGAAATAATGAATCGATAGAGTTCAAGTTTAAAAATTTGAAATCCATAGATAACTAATATCAATGGGATAGACAAATGAAAGACTTTCTCAAAATTCTTGCTCATTCAGTTTATATTTTGAAAATGAGTTAGTTAAATTTGAAAATTCACTTATATTATTAATCTTACTAAATAAATAAAAAACTACCTCCTTCTATAAGTATGAACTTAAGCCAAGTTTATATAAAACTAAATTATAATCCAACATCTTGCTATGAGCAAAATATTTTCGACTACTGGCAACTAAGAATATGAATATTTGTAATTACTTCCATACTACATTCAATAATTATTATAATGCATAGTCATTTGTAAGATATATAATTTTTAGGTTTTTGCAAATTTTCATACCATTTTTTTAACTTACAGTGATTTTAAAATATTTTTATTAGAATGGAAGGAAAATAACTATTTGATGAAATTCATTGTACATATTATTATATATTAAACAATATATTAAAGAAACATTATATTTTTTAAAATTTATATTTTATGAACAAGTACACACGTAAAATAAAGGTAATTCTTTTGTGAACACACGGAGAGCTAGCATTTTATCCACCCATTTTAAATAAACAAGAACAAAAAATGAAAATGACATGGCAGTCCAATTATTAAAAAGAAAAATATATTACTCTATTTTATTCAATCATTTCATGATCTTATACGCAATTTATAATTACATAAAAATAAAAATTTTATTTTGTTACTTTGTGTTTCAAAAACATGCTTTTACTTGCACTTGTCTCGGATGATAAGTAGAGAAGTTTTTTAAATACAACGCACATGTGCAAGGAAGAAAAATGTCACCCGTGGCCCCCATAGACATCAAGGAGTTCTGTAGATCCAGTGCTCCACTAATAAAAATTTTTTCTACCGCTTATTATTCGCAGGATTCCAAAGAATTTAATTGAAGAAACAAAATTTGTAACCCAGTCATTTGATGTTGATGCATTTGATGTCACATAGGTCATCTTCCGTTACCAAGATAGGATAAGGTATTATAGAAATCTTTGTGATTGATATAAGTACTATTTTATTCTTATATTATTTTGTTCTTATTTTCTTTGTAAAAATATGGTTTTAAATGTATGAAAAATGAAATAATTTAGAGGAGTCGTGGTATGAAATTAAAATCATTATACCTATGATGTAATATCTGTTTTAAATTCAGAGAATAAACTATGCAAACATCCAATAGATCAGTAAATGAACAAAGGATGACCTCCCATCCCAGCATCTAGAAAATTATAAGAATAAGAATAACAAAACTGACCCAGTCATGGAGCTAAGGGCCCGAATGAATTTGGAATTATTATACCAATGTCCATGTACATAATACATGGCTGGCTAAATAATTTCATTACATACATTTTTCTTAACCACTAAGAATAAGAACCATGAAATTAAAAGATCAAACAGTTTCTAGAATTCTGTCTACCTAGGTCCCTGTTAGTGTTAAGATTTCCTATTTTAATTGAAAATAATGATATGTACACCTGCTTTTATATTAATTTTTTTGTTGATTTATTCAAATTTATATATGTAACTAATAAAACAAATTATGAAAATATAATACAGAATTGTTTCATCTTTTCATCGAGAAGTTGGCTTTTTATAATATGTTCCAATATTTAGCTACAATGGTATTCTAATGCATATTGAAATTAGTTTTAAAATAATATTTTAAAATCAGTTTTCAAATAAATCTGATATTTCTAGCTCAAGTTATAATATTTTCTCCAAAATAGCAACAAATAGTAAAACTGATGCAAAACTATAAATTCTCTTGTAAAATTTTGTTATTTTTCTTAAATTTTGGGTGCCTTCTGCATAGAATTGGATTGAGATTTAAGTATGAAAGTTGCAGCTTTCTCTCTTAATTTTTCAATGCCTCAAGAATCAGCTCAATCAGAAATTTATAACTCAAGTTATGACATTTTCTCCAAAATATAAGCAATCAATAAAACTGTTGCAAAACTGTAAATTCTCCCATAAAATTTTGGGTTATTTTATTCAATTTCAGGTACCTTCTACATAGAATTGAATTGAGATTTAAAATATAAAAGTTGCAGCTCTCTCTCTTAACTTTCCAATGCCTAAAGAATTAGCTCAATCGGAAATTTTTAGCCTAAGTTATGACATTTTATCTGAAACAACAACAAGCAGTAAAACTGTTGCAAAACTGGAAATTCTCTTGTAAAATTTTGGATTCTTTTTCTTCAATTTCGAGTATCTTCTGTGTAGAATTGGGTTGAGATTTAAACATAAACTTTCAGCTCTCACTCTTAGCTTTCCAAGGCCTCAAGAATCAGATCAATCGGAAATTTGTATTTCAAGTAATGACATTTTCTCGAAAACATAGCAAACAATAAAACTGCTGCAAAACTGTAAATTCTCCTATAAAATTTTGGGTCTTTTTCTTCAATTTTGACTGCCTTCTACACAGAATTGGATTAAGATTTAAACATAAAAGTCACAGCTCTCTCTCTTAGCTTTCTAATGCCTCAAGAATCAGCTTAACCAGAAATTTATAGCTCAAGTTATTACATTTGATCCAAAACAGCAGCAAGTAGTAAAACTGCTGCAAAACTGGACATTCCCAATTGTAAAAAAACAGATGGAGTCTTGTAACAAGACAGGGTCCCATTTGTAAAATAACAGATGGAGGCCTGTAATGAGATAGGTCTCCATGTGTTATTTCACATATAGGAACTTGTCTTGTTACAAGTATTCATTGTTGTTTTACAGAGGTAAACTTGTCTCGTTACAGGCCTCTATCTGTTGGTTTACAGACGGGAACCTATTGCATTACAAGCCTCCATCTATTGTTTTACAGATGGGAAGCCTGTCTTATTATAGCCTCAATCTATTCCTTTTTAGACAGGAACCTGTCTTGTTATAGGCCTCCATATATTGTCTTATAGATAGGAAATTTATCTCGTTACAGGCCTCTATTTGTTCTTTTATAGATGAGAACCTATCCTGTTACAGACCTCCATCTGTTATTGTACAGACTAGCACCTATCTCGTTACAGGCCTCCATCTGTTCTTTTAAAAACGGGAACCTGTCACATTACAGGCTTGCATTTGTTATTTTACAGATGGCAACCTGTCTCATTACAAGCCTCCATCTGTTGTTTTACAGGGGGAACATGTCTTGTTACTAGCCTCCATCTGTTATGTTACAGACTTGAACCTATTTGTTATAGGCCTCTATTTATTATTTTACAGATGGAAACTTGTCTCGTTACAGCCTTCTATCTATTATTTTACAAATTGGAACCTGTCTCGTTACAGGTTTCCATTTGTTGTTTTATAGACAATATCTTTTTTCGTTATAGATCTCCATCTGTTGTTTTACAAAGGGAAATCTGTCTTGTTATAAACCTCCATCAGTTATTTTATAGACAAGAACCTATCTCATTATAGACCTTCATTTGTTATTTTATAAATGAGAATCTGTCTCATTGCAGACTTTCATCTGTTCTTTTACATATGGAAATCTGTCACGTTACAGGCTTCATCTGCTACTACTCTTATAGTATTCTGAGTTTTGTTTATTCAATTTTGAGTACCTTCTAAACAGAATTGGATTGAGATTTAAACATAAAAGTTGTAGCTCTCTCTCTCTTAACTTTTCAATGCCTCAAGAATCAATTCAATCAGAAATTTATAGCTCAAGTTATGAATTTTATACAAAACAGCAGCAAGCAGTAAAACTACTGGAAAACTGTAAATTCTCTTGTAAAATTTTGAGTTCTTTTTCTTAAATCTCAGGTGCCTTCTGCACAGAATTGATTGAAATTTAAACATGAAAGTTGAAGCTCTCTCTTTTATCTTTTCAATACCTCAAAAATCAGCTTAATCGTAAATTTGTAACTCAAGTTATGACATTTTATCCAAAATAGCAGCAAGCAGTAAAACTGCTGCAAAACTGTAAATTCTCCGTAAAATTTTGGGTATTTTTCTTCAATTTCGAGTGCCTTCTGGGTAGAATTTAGTAGAGATTTAAACATAAAAGTTGCAACTCTCTCCTTAACTTTCTAATGCCTCAAAAATTAGCTTAATTGAAAATTTGTAGCCCAAGTTATGTCCTTTTTTCAAAACAGTAGCAAGTAGTAAAACTGCTGCAACTGGAAAAATTTTAGCTGTATTTTGGCTTATTTTCAAGGTCTTTTTGGCTGACTAGATTGAGGTCAAAATATGAAAGTTGTATCTCCTTCTCTTACATTTCTAAAAAAATTTTGAATTGTCCAAATCCGAGTTTTCTAACTTAAGATATGAATTTTTCACTGAAAGTGGTGCTGCTAAATTTTTTGTAGAAACAACTCGTAGCAGCACCAATTTCAGTAAAAAATTTATATCTCAAGATAGAAAACTT